AGTATTTGGGCAAATTTTCTACAAAGAGCATTTAAAATGCATGACTTGGGTGCCAAGTAGCTCTGCTGCTGTCTTAAAAATAAGCGCAGCTTCCACGAGTTCCCCAGCGCATGTGTTGGGGGTGCCCTTTAGTTCACGGGCTGGTTAGCCATGTATTATACTCCTTCCTACAAACATAAGGACTAAAAGCTAACATTTTCTTTTAGATGCGCTAATCACATGGCCCCAAGAGCTGAGCTTTCTTCCAGGGGGGGGGGAAAAAAAAAAAAAAGAAAGCAAAACCCTCTAATATCATATGACTCAAGACTAAAATTTTTGTAACGTGGTAGTTGATGAACAATGTGCTACAGATAAGATTTCCAGGGAACTGTCAGTCTGATTTTACTTATCACAGCTTTAATCCATCAACCTCAACAGAGTTATTTTGGATTTAGAACAGCAGGTTCTGATCTTGCATTTTTTATACTTTCTGACCACCAAAAACAATGCCAAAAACCCCTGAGAATAAACCAAAAAACTATAAATAAATGCTATGCTGTAACACAGCATGTAGTTCATGTCCTGTTTCCTTATATACAGGTTACTAAATTTAGTGGAAATGTCCACAGCATTTGTGTCATGGAAAAACAATGAAAAACTTGCAGGTGAACCAGCTCAGGGAGGTGGGGAAAAAAAAAATAAACAGAAAGAAATGCATCACATGACATAAAGTACCAACTTCCAAAACACTGACTCTCACAGTCCCCAGGTGTACGATGAGGGACACACACAGAGGTAGAGAAGAGAAAGAGAGGGGGGGGAGGGAGGGCAGAAGGACGGAAGGAAGGACGGACGGAAGGAAGGAAGGAAGGAAGGAAGGAAGGAGGGAAGGAAGGAAGGAAGGAAGGAAGGAGGAAGGGAAGGAAGGATGGGAGGAAGCAGGAAGGAAGAAAGGGAGGGAGGAATTTCTAACACGGTGGTTACAGTCGGGCGGTGTGGGGAAGGAAGGAAGGAAGGAGGGAAGGAGGGAAGGAGGGAAGGAAGGAAGGAAGGAAGGAAGGAAGGAAGGAAGGAAGGAAGAAGGGAAGGAAGGACGGGAGGAAGCAGGAAGGAAGAAAGGGAGGGAGGAATTTCTAACATGGTGGTTACAGTCTGGGGTACTACTAATGCCCAGATCATCTCCAAAAGGAGGACTCCAATTCAACTTTAAGTCACAAAAAGCACAGAGCAGCCGCAGGGGTGTGCCCAGAAGGAGAATTTGGGCCATTATTTGTTACCCAACTCAAGTAACCCTAGGAGAGTCTATCAGCTCGGCACATTGAAGGAAATGAAAAGCAAGTAACAGCCCTGACCACAGCCCCTTGTTTCCATGAACACCGAAACAGCCAGGCACACATTCAGGTGCCTTCTCCAGAAGCAGCCCTGCCCTGTGCGGCAGGACAAGCTGCTGTAGGGGCGGTGGCACTGCCCTCCTCTGCTCCTTCCCACCCGCACAGGTGGTACTGCTAACTCCAGTATGGACAACACGATTTTATCCACAGTAGCCAGGAATATTTCCTTCCAGAAAACCTCATCCTACCAAGCTGGAAGAGTTTAAACCTCGTATTCTCCAAACAAACCATGAGGTAGCCTGGCAGCCATGTGAAGAGCTGCAAGCAAGACCACCAATTCTTTGCGCCCCAAATGTCACTTCATTTCAAATACTGGTCATTAAGCTCTGAAATCAGTCCTTTTTTTCCTAGCAGTGGAGGGATACTAATGCTACGGGACTCTTTGGATGAATAACCCTTATTCACATATACAGCAACAGGGTTAATGGGATGGGAGGGCACACTGAGCTTGGTAGACAAACAGCTTTCCAGCAAGGGCTCTGCCTATGTTTAGGCCAAGAACATCACATGGGTCTCCCCATGACAAGAAAGTCACAGCCTTGTAATAAATAGCTCTAGCATAGTCATCGTTGTCTCAGTTACAGCATAACGAAACCACTGTGCTGTCTGAAAGTCAGTTCCTGAGAGCAAATGCACAGCCATTTGTAGCCTGAAATGAAGTTTAAGCAATCTCAGGTCTCATGCCCCATCTTTTAAGTGCAAATATAGTAAAAAGTCACAAATTACTGAGTTGGCAAAGTAAGCAACAGTAAAAGATGGCCATGAGCAATGTTTTCTTTAAGACTGGCAGAAATCTCAGAAATGCTTTGAAGACAAGCCTAAAAACGATCAGCAAAAAGGAAGCACAGGAAGGATGCACCTGGAAATTACTTACTGTAGAAAACATAGAATCATAGAATCGTTTCGATTAGAAAAGACCTTTAAGAGCAAGCCCAACCGTTAACCCGACACTGCCAAGTCCACTACTAAACCATGTCCTTACGTTCCACATCTACACATCTTTAAAATACCTTCTTGGAAGGTGACTCAACCACCTCCCTGGGCAGCCTGTTCCAGTGCTTGACAACCTTTTTGGTGAAGACAATTTTCCTAATATCCAATCTAAACCTCTCCTGGTGCAACTTGAGGCTGTTTCTTCTTGTCCTATCAAATGACAATGACTGTAGCAAATAGGTTGCAATGAGGACCTGAGGCCACATCATGCCTGGGTTTACCCAGAAGCATCTTTCAGAGGAGTCAGGGCACCTCTCCATCTACTATAGATTAGGGTAAGCATTTTCAGTAAGCAACTGATTTCCAACTAACAATGCAGTTTTGGGGGGAGGCTGAAAAAAAATATGGTAGAAGTGTAGAAATCTTAGAAGATTTATTTTTACCATCTAAGAAAAAAATGCTTTGATTTTGTGTTCTAAAGTGGTGTATTCCCTTTGAACTTGACCTGAATGCAAAAAATGCATGAAAACACTACAAATAGGGTTAGACAGCCCTGAAAATTAATAGACAGCTTTTATTTTGGGATGGGGTGGGGGTGAGGGGGAAGACTTTTGGCTGTCCCGAAAGTCACTATAATTTAGCTGAAAAAGAAACCACCCTCCCCCCAAAAAAACCTGTTTCAGGTTGAGCTGAAGTGAAATATTTGTGCTTTTTTTTTCCCAGTTTCACTACAAGAAGGAGAATCAGAAATTCAGACTTCTGTACTGAAAGTCCCAAGCTTTTTCTTACTTTTTTAATTTTTTTTTTTTAAGAGAATGCATTGAAACCTGATATTTAAGTCAGAGTGGCGTCTGAGTGCAGAATGTAGCATGGCTTTGCTTAGAGGCGATACGCAAGCCCAGAGAGGCAGAGCCCCCTTAGCAGAGGCACCCTGTGCACCCAGCTGTGTCTTGCAGGTCTCCTCCTCAGCCTGGGTGCGGCAGGAGCGCAGCCCTCCCAGCAATGCTGGGATTTAGGACTGATCATCCCACCCTCTCCCAGTCTTTCTGTTCAGAGGCAACCCAGAGGCACTTCTCAACCAGCCTCACCACTCACAGTGTTCACGAACAACCTCATCCTCTCACCTACTGAGCTTGATTTGGGATATCCCACCCTCCTCCAAAAACTGCCAGTTGTTAACTCATAGAATCACAGAATCATAGAATGGTTTGGGTTGGAAGGGACCTTAAAGATCATCTAGTTCCAAGGCCCCTGCCATGGGCAGGGACACCTTCCACTAGACCAGGTTGCTCAAAGCCACATCCAGCCTGGCCTTGGACACTTCCAGGGATGGGGCATCCACAACATCTCTGGGCAACCTGTTCCAGTGCCTCACCACCCTCCCTGGGAAGAATTTCTTCCTGATATCTAATCTAAATCAGCTTAGCTCCCTGGTGAAGCCTCACCCCAGGGCAAAGGGAACCAGGACCTGAGCTTGCCATTTTCCCTTCTCATAGCTCCAGCAAAGCCCAGCTAGGAAATGTGGGCACCAGAAGGAAAAGTGTCTGGGGGCTGCAAGAAAAAACATAGGCAACAGGAAATCTGAGTCATGGCCAAAGGGCAGGTGAAAGGATGCAATGCCTGGAGTATGTGAGACTCAGCAAAAAGGAGGGTTTCATTATAAAATGAGGATCTAATTTATGCAACCGTTAAAGACACTGAAGTTCAGTGGCATCTCTTTTTCACCAGTAAATTCAACAGCCAGCCTAGTGAGAAGTGCAAAAGTGGGCATCCGGGAAGGGCTGAAAGCCCCAAATTCAGTATCAAGGGTAGTGCTCACCACAGGATACCTAGTTACAGGCAGTTAGCGTATTCAAATAAAGGCACAGGGAAACTGTTTTTTCTGAAGAAGAGGAAAGCAGCTCATACCGAAACTGTGATTTCACTGGGGTGGTACAGCCAGAACCTGCACTTTGGCAGCTCGGCAATGCAGGCCATGGGCAATTCATTTAATCGATGTCTTCTTTCAAGAGAACATTAAAGGGGCTTTAATTAGGCAAAACATCAGGATACGCCTTCTTCCCTTCTGTGCGTTCCCAACAAGGTATCTGCTAGCTTTCCTGATGCTTAGGCTCTTTGGACCACCCTGCTCAAGGACAGACAGGGGCTGCTCCTTCCCAGTGACCCATGGCCGCCCATGCACTTTACAGACCTATTTTACATCATCAGCCACAACGGAGACTGTTCTCCTACACATGAAATTAATCATTTTCCATTTAATCTTGCTAATTACTTAAACGTCTTATGGTAGGGAGAGCCCCAGGGGAATTACACACTTCACAGTGAGTTTGCTTTGCTACATCGATGGACAGCAAAAGCCCTTTTATTACCATCTGAAGCGAAGCATGCCAGCTTACGAAGTCTAAGTCTTTTGAAGTGAAGGGAGAAAAAGGCAATATTGACATTTGCAAATTCTGGACTCACCACCTCACTCGTCAGCGACTTTTCTACCCTGGGGCAAGCGAGCGTGCGCTCCCAGTGCCTGCGAGCTAAACAGCAACATAGACGCCCACTTTCTCCCACCTCTGCCTGGCTTGTCAGCTGAGATGGCAAATGCTTTTGGCAAGAGCCACCTCTCACTATCTGCCTGGCATCGCTCGAAGCCTGACACCGCAATGCGCACACGAATGCCGGGCCGTATCCACACCTCCCACTTACCAGCCACCACCTGTAGCTGTCTTCAGGGATCAAGGCATTTTGTGAGGTCAGGAAAGGTTGCATAGTTGAATTAAATCTCTGATCGAACCAGAGGGAATGTCCCAGCTCAGAAATGCAGGTGCGACAGCTGCACGGTCTTCTGGGGTACTTGAAGAGCTTCTGGACTTGCTCTGAAAACTGCATGATGAGATGTCTCGGGTCCCAGGTGGTCGTGGTCACCTGGTGCGTGTAGTTCAGCAGAAATGACGATATCGTGATGAGCAAAAAGGCGAAGGTAAACACTTTCACGTTCCTCCTCCTTATGATGACCATCTTTCCTGCTCAGTTTCTGCTCTCGCCGCTGACCAAGAAGGATGTAGGGTCCGACGTAAGGCAAAAAGGAAAAGGTGCTGCAGGCACCTGTCGGTTACCACCACGGGCTTAGGCTGAACATACCAACTCCAATACCTCCGTTCATAAGGAAGAAGCTTTGTTTCCCCAAATGGGCTTCAAAAAAGACAAAGCTGGGTATTTCCTTTCGCCTTCTCACAGTGCTTCCAAGTCCCTTCCACCTCTCTGTGGCCTGCTGCTAACCTCTCCCACCAAGGATTCAGTGAAGGCGGACCCTTGTCCTCCTGCGTACTAGAAGACTTAGAGGGCAGCAGTATCAGCATTAAAATTCAGGTTTTCTGTGTGGCAGCAAAGCATAAATTAAAGCAAGCAAATTGTAGAAAGAAGAGGGTGGTTATTTTTTTTTCTTGGAAGTTAGTTCACGAGGGCTCAGATCATCTGGGGATGTACATTCCAGCAGAGAGACGTGCTTAGATGTCCATTTAAGCCACGGAGCACAGTTTGCAGCCTGGAAACACACACGCAGAAAAAGAAAGAAAAATCATTGTCAGACAGTTTTTTACATTCCTCTCAACCTGCTTTCTCTGCTTTTCTCTGCTCAGAGCCCTCGACACAGCAGCACCAGCTGCAATTTCTGCTGCGGTATTTGCATACTGGAAGTTTCAGGGTGAAATTTCCGAAAGGGCAAAGCATGGACCTGTGGACATTGAGTCCCTTTGTATTGAATCAGCCTCAGCAGCTCCGGCCTTATTTGAATTGCAGTCTGTCGCCATTTCAATGGAAATGACTCACCTCCTTCCCTTAGGCTGACCTTGATAGCCACAAGACACACAGCAAAGTATTCATAACTCAAAGCAGCCGAACAAAAAGTACCTGGCAAAGGAGGGAGGAGCAGGACAGGGAGGAAGAGGCATGGGTTCCTTTCTCTTCCTCTCCCCCAGTCGGCTTAATTTCTTAAGGATTGGGGCTGGACTCGTGATTCAGAGAAAGCCACGGAAGAACAGCTCATGCGTCCTGGGACAGAGAGGGGGAAATCAAAGCATAAACAGCCTTTGTTTTGCGCAGACTATTGCTATTTTTCCTGCCAAGGAAAGGTAGGAGCGGGCAGCCTGTGATCTCAGAGTTCCTGTGAGATCCCGAGCCAGGCAGAGAGGAGGGAGCTGCTCCACCTCGGCGAGTCTAGGGATACAGAGGGACACCAAGCTGCTTTCCGCTCCCCTCCTGGTGTCCCCTGCCTGGCAGCAGTGATTTAATCGAGTTTTTAAAAGCCAAAAAATGGATCCCTTCCTCCCACAATGCCATTGTTCTGTGGGAAGAAAAAAGTGTTGTGGTTTTTTAAACTTCGGATGTTTGCAAAAAGCGCCAAAAGTGCCATTGCTTAAATAACACTCGTTTGATTTTAAAAAAGAAAAAAAATCAGAGAAGTATCTGTGTCCGAATATGTGTAATTTATGACCAATTAAAAGCCCAGCTAGAGAAGTCTCACTCGCTGCTCAGCTGCAGGCCAGCAAACAGAGCAAAACCACAATTGTTACCTGTCAGAACCCTCATTCTCACCCATTCTGTGCACCCCACTGATGCAGGATGCACACATTTCATCCCCCAAAGCTGCAGTGAACACAGGAGAAGTGCATCTGGTGGACACAGGTCTGGGCTGGGCACAGCATCCCCGGCTTTGCTGCTGGCTTTTCTCCTGGGGATCCAGGAGGAGCTGCCCCAGGCCAAACCACTTTTCCAAGGGGTTTGACATGGTGTCTTGGAGACAGCACAGGCTTGGTTTTTAGAGGTGCTATGCCAATATTTACCAAGTCCCGTAAAGCCACATTTGAAGGCAGGAACCTCAGAGACTGGTCTTAAGGCTTTGCTCTGCTTCAGGTTTCAAATCTGCAGCACACGATGGGTAGCGTGTGCCTTTCAATTAGCTGCTGTTTGCCAAATGCCTCGAGATTTATTTTAAGTCTGGCCCTTAAAAATGCATTTACAGGAGCTCAAGGGCTGACAAGTGGGTCAGGCTGGATAACAAAAGGCTTTATTAACCCCGGCTGCTCAGGCTCGCCTGCACCAGTAAATTAAATGGCACCAAAGAAGAATCCCGCACTCGAACTTTTTAGAGGGGAGTTTTGGAGCTAACCAGAAATCTTCCAAACTATTCCTGGGTACAATTCAGGAATCACAACCCAAAAGGCAGCAGGGATGCTGTTGCTGTGCCTTGGAGAGTTAGAAATGGAGCTTAGGAACATGGCCCCTCTGCACAGCCCAAACATGCCAGTTGGCCCCTGAGCTGGAGAGAGGCCCCAAACACATTTGCTTTACTAGCCTGGATGTAGTTAGTCTAAACAAAAACACAGCCTCTAAACCCCCCAGAAATATGCCAAATCCCAGAAGCAGATTGATTCTCCATTTATGGAGCGTACAATGCAAGGTCTGCGATGCTGGCGGGTCGAACCCCTACTGCTGTTAATGCTGGGCCAATTCAGTATTTGTAAACAGAGCTCCTGCTCTTCTGTAAGTTTTTTAAGTGGAGGCGGGAGGGGGATTATGCAGCCTTTCTTGGAAAAGCCTATAAAATGGAGTATTGTTCGTAAAAGAAACAGTTCTGGCCTCTAAAACAAACACCCATTTCACCATTTTTTTTTTTTTTTTTTGGTAACTGAGCTAAGGTTAAACTTATATTTAGAATTTGAAAAAAACCCAAACTTAAAATGGTGTTTATGCAGTGGACTGCAGTCTCCAAACTCCTAATCGACCCATCTTTTATAGCACGTGATGGGAAGGTGAGAAACCAGAAGAACTCCCAAGGCCCTTTTCTAGTGTGGAAATAAATACCGGATAGTCTATTTTAATTCTTGCTACTTACAGTTTCCTATGAATGCTCATGTTTCCTATGACTAGCCATGATAGAAAAAAATATATAACCTGACAGAAAGACTCTGGGGACTATAAATGTAATTTAGGGCCTGAGGAAAAGGAAGGCTGAAATGAATGGAAAATGCTTTCATCGAGTTCACCGTGACATGGGTCAAGATCATTTTTCTTCCTTTCTTACAACACACATTAGATCCAACCCAGACATCATTACTAGCACTCTTCCCAGCACCTCGTACTGCATCTCAGACCATTCCTGCATCTCCCTCTGTTCATAAATCTTTGCAAAATGGTTTCCATAGGATTCACCTAAGTGCCAGGCAGCGGGAAGGGCAGGGACGATCCGGACGCAGCAGCTGCTGTGGGAAACCATACCCGGCTGCCAGCCCCAGCTGTTGGGAGACTTTCACCTCCTGATACCGTTTGCTGTAAGTAAGTAGCACAGTACCAGCCAGGGTCCTTATCAACGTACCTTGGCATGACCTTGGCATTAGTACATCTGTGAACAGGCTATTTTGGCCTCAGACCCAGAAACAATTTCTGGGGACTTCAGATACATAGATTTAAATTATGTGTCCAGCCCTCACCCACCTATGGTCCCCCGAGAGACTTTCTGTACAGCATGTATAGGGCTGTGCTGGCAGGCAGCTCTCCCAGCTCAGCTCACGCAAGCAGCAGGATAAGCTACCTTCAGTGATTGGGTGCTTAAGGTCATCTTTGTGGTCTGGATTTCTCCTGCTACCTTCCTACCTCCTCTTGCTTCCTACATATACCTTCTCCCTGTATAAGACACCCCTAAACACCCCAGGATAACTTATGCTGCCAACACCCAGAGACATCTGATTCAGAGAAAATGTGAAATTATGTGTCCCAGGCATGGGCAGAGAGGGGCAGGTTCAGAAGAAGGGGCAGGTTCAGAAGAAGGGGCAGGTTCCTCCAAGCTCTGTCCTGAGTGTAAGAGTGGGTCCAGTGTGATTAAATGCTCATAAAGGAGAGCACAGCTTAATCTTTAGGCTACATTTCGTATGATAAAATATACTGGGATCAATCCATTGTGACTGTCATCATTGTCTTCTCACATTTTAAAAAGAAGGAACAGAAAGAGGGATTTTTTTTTCTTCTTTTTTTTTACCCAGGGTAGGTATTTTTTGTATTATAAAATCACAATCTGAAGAATGTCCCTGATCCCTTGCCAATTTGCCAATTAACAGACAAGGATAAGAACACATCAGTTCAATGGACTAATATAAAGCAAATCTTAACACCTTCAGGAAATATCTTTTGACAAATCCACCTACAAATGCAACGTATTCTCACTGCACTTGTTAGGTTATGTGATAAAAGCTCATCTGCACACCCACAAAGAAGCAGAGAGAGACAATGCTAGAAGGTGGACCCCAAATAATTCCCTGCCACAAGGGCTCCCAGGTCCATCCCACGAGCCATCAGCCCATCAGAGGCCCATCTGCACCAGTCCAGAGGAGCACAGGGGCAGAAGGGCAAGTGGAAACCTGAAACAAGGACTCAGGAGGGACACCCTGTCTGGGTTCCTCCTAGGTCTGGCCCAGGACAGCCTCAGCCCCAGGTATGAAACTCAGAGGACTCAACACCAGAGCATCTTTGGGACCGAGATGGGTTGCTGCCCTGGGGGCATGGGACACATTATGGGGTGCAAGGGAAGAGCATTTGGGGATTGCACAAGATTTGTGTGGTCAGTCACACAATATCTGCAGGATTATTGATTTCTTTTAGAGATGGGTCTTAATTTCTTAATTTTTTTAAAGATGGGTCTTAAACAAAAAGCATGCAGAAAATATGAATGAGAAAATAATAATTGAGAAAAAAACCCCAACTGTACTTCTTCTCATTTCCCCAAGTTCTAAATGTCCAACTATGATAGACTTTGACCCCTTTTTGATGCCTACTTTGCTAGCGAGGAAGTACTTAGTACCAGCACCACTATGAAGAGATCTTTATTAGCTGGCGTTAGATGCTGACAGTTCAGGATCCAGCTTTTGCCTTCTGGTCCGTAACTCACATTAAAACCTCGGTGTGAAATGCACTTCTCTAGTCTGAAGTTGCCAGCATTTTTCAGACACAGCATGCTGGGCAGAACAGCTCA